TCTTTTTGCATGACGTTCTATCACCGTTCAACAACGAGAACATAGAAAGATGGAATTCAGGATCAGTGTTTTAGGGAACGACATTCTATAAACAGTACTGGAAAATTCCCATGTGTTATCTTCTATCGTGTAACGAAAATACTTGCGTTACGTCATGTTATTGAATCTGTAAATCAGGAATCAGTCCCCCGCCAAATTAAAATCGTTCAGTCCTAGCGATATTGAATTTTTTAAACGTGAAAATGAAGGGACAAGTTTTAGACAGTGTATATAAGTATAATGAAATATGGACGAGACCTGACCGCACGTGATATGTAATCAAAAACTCGGTAAACATCCGTTGGTGACTTGGCAACTGCGGCGCTTGAGCTGTCTAAGTACGAGATACAAGAGTGATGCGATGTAGCCACATTTCAGAGGGAATCTCCTTCGGTGTGAATTGATTAACTTTATATCTGATACAGTCATATCACCGCAGATTACGTCACTCTCAGATGCAAAAGCTTTGACGCCGCGTTCGATGTTCGATGGTTCAAAATTTCTTACCTTGAATAATATTATACCACCACATACAGTATACACGTAGAAAAATGTATCGTTGATTTCACACATCACCCTTCGACACACATCAGTTGGAGAAAAGTTATGTATACCTCAAAATGGCTAATAATGATTTATATTTCTATTTCTAATGGAAGAATAGTACTTATAACCTCCAAGCCACAGTAGGCCAATATATAGCTTTCGCATCTTCAAGTTGGATGATTTGTGTTTATAGTGAATACTATTATTCTCCCTACATCAGAATACAGATCTACTGTAACCGTTTAACAAATTCGAATATTTATTCAATTTTATTTATTTCACACAATTTTATTATGAGAACAACTATTATGTTGTAACATTCATGAACATACACTATTATCATAAATAAATGGTCTTCCTGATATTATCCGGCCAAAATTTTGAACTGTTAAATTTACAATATTATAAAGACTAACCAAATAGTGACCTTATGATTGTTCTCTAAATCTTTTTTTTTCTTTGAATTCACTGTTGAAATTTCCTTAGTGATATATGAGTGATATTTATATTTATAATGTATATACTAGATTAAGTAGGATTTGTGGGGCCATCGATTTATATGAATCTTATAGGTATACTTTCTATACAGTTCTGATTTGCTAGGTATATTTCCTACAATCTCATTTCGTTCAATATAATTATTGTATGAATATTTCATTTTACTGACGAGGGAAAGTATATATAACAGTTTTCTTTGAATCCCATCAGCTGCATCCCCATACAAATTCTACATATTCTAATGATTGATGCAGCTATACCAATATAATTGAATCTAATATATACTTATACCATAGATTAAATATTCTATTGATTGATGCAGCTACTATATAAAATGATTGAATCTAATATATACTTATACAGATTAAATACACCTAGATGTCTATATATACTCATTTCCCTTATTACACTTCCAGCAGCCGCATTCGAATTTCAACAAGAACTGATCCCTAATGCCTATAATACCTCCAAACTGGCTCTACAAATATTTAAAAAGCAAACACCAATATTCGTTTACATCTATTTGAATGGCGCAAACTCGCTCAGAGGATGTTAAACTAGTAGTTTGCGCGCATCCCATTTGTATTTTCGGCCTTTCTGGCTATCCGCAGCTCCCGTCAGTTGCCATCTGAACAACGACGGAGATAGATCAAATTGTATGACGATTTGGGAAGTGATGAATTTGATAAAACTGATGATACTTTGAATTACTGATGATATTCAAAGATCTAATGCGTATGTTGATGAAAAAGGTGAATGAAGTGAGTAAACATTGATTGCATATAAGGATGATGATGGGATGCAAATGATTCTCGCAATAAATTCATTATTTTATAAACTAAAGAGAAATCCAAATTAGCAGTTAGCATGTGCATGTTGAATGGTGATAGTCGTTTTACTATATTGTACTCATTATCAACTATTTTATTTTGTCTGATGACATTAATTTTATTTCATCAATCTATATAGAGAGTATCGTCGTATAGATATACTCACGACTAAGAAACAAGATAATTTGGTTTTCGAGATCATGATATTGATGACGACGACAACGACATTGCGATGATTTTTTCAAATTCCTCTTGCGGCATCGACTTCTAAGGTGCCAGCTGAGCAACGACGGAGATATGTCAGATTTAATGATGATTTTGAAAGTGATAAAACTGATTATACTTTGAAATACTGATGAAATTTGAAGATAAAATGCGTACGTTGATAAAAAAGGTGAATGAAGTGATTAAACATTGATTGCATATAAGGATAATGGGATGCAAATAATTCTCACAATGAATTTATTATTCTATATATCGAAAAGAAATCCAGCATTGAGCATGTGCATGGTGCATGGTGATAAATGTCTTACTATATTTTATTCATTATTAAATTCTTCATTTTGTATTGATGTCATTAATTTTATTCCATTTTATCTATCTATATAGAGAGTATCTTTGTATAGATATACTCACGTTTAAAAACCAAGATAATTGTGTTTTCGAGATTTGATATTGAGTGTAGCAATACACATCATGATATTGATGACGACGACAACAACGTTACTATGATTTTTTTGAATTCCTCTTGCGGCATCGACTTCTATAAGGTGCCAGCTGAACAACGACGGGAATATATGTCAGATTTTATGACGATTTTGAAAGTGATAAAACTGGTAAACTGATAATACTTAGAACTACTGATGATATTCGAAGATAAAATGCGTATGTTCATGGAAAAGGTGAATGAAGTGAGTAAACATTGATTGCATAAGGATAATGGCATTCTAATAATTCTCACATTCCTATTCTAAAAAGTAATTCAAATAAGCAGTTAGCATCTGCATGTTCAATGGTGCGATAATCGTTTTATTATATTGTATTAATTAGATACATAAATTGTTATTTGTATTGATGACATTAAAATACTATTTCATCTCAATACCACTAAGGAAAAACGCTAACAAGCTATATATAGAAGAGTGTGCCATTATAATACATCTTGAAATATCATATTCTCACCTCTGAAAACCAAGACGATGTTATTTTCGAGATTTGATAAAGAGTGTAGGATATTGATGACGCCGACAACGACGTTGACGACTTTTTTTTTCTTTCCTCTTGGTATCGACTCCTGAATGGTTTTCATCAGACAATAATGTGAAAGCAATTTCAATCACAATAAATTACTTCTGCAGCAGATTCTATTATACTTACTGAATTAATAAACATGACTATTGATTCAATTGAACAGTAATGATCAATACTCATAAGTATATATTCTGAATTGACTAGGTAGGTATCCTGTTTATATGAATTTGATAATTTGAAGATGCGTATCTAAATGTCCATCATTTCCGAATTGTCAGAAAACTTTCCGTGACTTCTATAATTGCTTCCTCGTTTTCATTATCAAGATGGTTAGGAATATTGCGTTCACAAAAAAGTGTAAACTTTGTCAGCAACTTCATTAAATCCATATAAGGCTGTTGTCTGATGCATGTGTTTTCGAATAATAATATTATTATTGCCTAATAATGTTATTCAAATTCATTGTGAGCAGTTGGATCTAATGATTAACTCAGAGAATTCAGAAATAGGTATACCTAATAAGAATATAATTCAGATGAAACCTTCAGTTTACAGAATGATATATTTAATTTGATACAATGCTACACGCACCTATACAGATATGTGAATGAACAGAATATCTGGTAAATATACCTGAGTGTAATTATAATGGGTGCATGAATTATATTCTTGATAAACTGTTGTTCTGCACTTTCCGTCGCATTAGGTATACCCATATTGGTACGTACCTACCATCAGCACACAGAAAGAGCTAACAATTGATAAATACCTTTACTTGTTTTGAAATAATTATATTCAGGTATGATGAATCTCGAAATAATATGGGAGTACTTATATATACACATCATGAACAATTTAGAAGGTAAGTATAATAATTTATATAGTTTGATGATCAACAGAAAAATACTCCTGAATATATATCAATAATTTATATATCAACAATATACACATTGATGGTTACAGGTATAAGCATTTTCAGAACTTCTTGTGGGTGGGGCATTATTACGTCGGAGCTCGAATTCTATGATAGCTATATAGAAACTTGATTCAAAAACGAATGTGAATGAGACAACATGGCATATAACTAGAAATTAATTTCAAGTTCATTTTTTTATTCTAAAAATATGTTATTTCATTTTCATCATTTTTAGGAATTCTACTAATTTCATCACCTCCACTTTCATATCATATTTTGGAATCGAGTAGTTTTACCAAAACCCTTCTTTCCTTTGCAGACCTCCGTCTCACCAGTGATGTGACCCATCCGAAGCCGAGAGCCACAGAAAAAACCCACCGACCTCGGGAAAATGTCCCCCGAAGGGCTGACAACAAAACAAAAAAGACGCGGCGACCGTGTCGGCGTCTGAAAAAGCCACAGCCACACCTCCAAAGGCATGACCGAGAAGCTCCTGCCCACCAAAAGTGCGAAAAGGGTGGGGGAGATGTCGCCTCGCTATTGGCCCGAGCGCTGACACCGACACCCGTCGACCAATAGCGCAGCGTTACCGTCATTAACGCACCAAAGTGTCGGACGAAGCGGGGCCAGCTCTATAGTCCTGTACTGTCTTTTCATCGGTGTGGAGGTGTCACGATTCACACTACCCGTTAACCCTAATTTCCCTGGGATTTGGACTGCAGTGCGCGTCGGCTCGAACCATAACAGTGACCTAGGTGTTTTGTGTGAAAAATTGTGTACCAGTGTGCTCGAAATGGCCAGGCAATCCTAGCCGAGGACTCTTTTCTCAGCAATGCCATCAGACACCATCCGCGGTTTTTTATGATTCATTTGGTGCGGTGGACGAATCTCCAGGATTCCGCCGCTCACAAGCCAAACAAATGCGTTACGAAACGGGAATAGACACTCTGCTAGACTCGGGTAAGGCGAAAGGCACCATGGCCTACCATCCCTTCTTGCAGCTGCCGCGGCAAACGGACTTTAGCGTGTCGTCGCTGCTCACGGCAGCCAACAGCAACACTGGCTCTGGCAACTCTCCTGGCGCAGCAGGCTTCTTTCCTTCGGCAGCTCTGGCTGCGTTTGGAGCGCAGCAGAATCCGCACGGTTGCTACCCTGGCACGCTGATCCCTAAGATCAACCACCCTCATCCGCATCATGCGTTAACCGGTCACCCTTATACCACGGCGGAAGATGTTGTGTTGGCGGCTGTGGCGGCGCATAATCACCATCCCGCCATGGTGAGGCCTTTGAGGGCTATCCAGCCAGAGGAGGACGGGGTAGTGGACGATCCAAAGGTGACGCTGGAAGGGAAGGACTTGTGGGAGAAGTTCCACAAGCTGGGCACGGAGATGGTGATAACGAAGAGCGGCAGGTAAGAGGATTCAGGGTTTTTATAGGGTAAATGGTGCTTAAAATCGATGAGGATCACTGTCTTGAGATATAGGGAAGGTTAGGATCCGGTGCGGAAGAAGCGGATCATGATCGTGAGAGACGTTTCGAGATCGCAATGTCCGAATTGGCAGTCGAAGCAATCATTTAGCAAAATTGAGAAAGAAAGGGAGAATTATGCGTGAGCATGCGTCTTTTATTCTCTTTCATTTAGGATCCATTTCGTTATCAATAAACTCATTGGGATCGTACACGTATGCCAATTATCAAACCAAATTAACAATCTATGTACGGTGAATTCATCATAACGCAGAGAGAAATAATCCTCAATTATTCTTCATGCCCGTAGACTCGGAATATATATTGCTCGATATATTGAGAGAGGCATTTATTTGATTAAAAAATAGGTATCAGTGGGGAAGTCGTGAATGCTTCCGTTAGAAGTTTGTATGGGGTGGCACAGCGGAGCCTAAGACAATTAATATAAATAATATCGTCAGATTGTTCGTCAAATATTTGGTTATTGTGATCTTAGAAAATCTTAATATCTCATCCTATAGGTATTCATGAGTCTGGGAAGTATGGAGTGATAATACTTGAAATTCAATGACCAAAGAGCAATTATCGTTGAGTTGGAGTTTTATTTAAGATCAGTTTGAGGTACCTACCTCAGACTTGACAACAATATGAGTCACAAAGAAAAATCTTGAACACTAAACACCGATAAATAAATGAGCTAACGTATGGTGCAATACCTAAGCAACTATTACCGGATAATAGAAATATTAAGTTATATCTAATATATCGAGATATCTATCAATTTGTGTATGTGCAATTATAAATTAACTTCCACGAATTGTTACATAATTATTCGTTATTGTACCTTTAACGTTTTCCAATATTTTGAACATGCTTCTCATCAACAAATGCTAGGTCTCAAATCAGAACGCTACTGGACCAAATTACGTTTCTGGGAATTATCAGGTTAGGTTCTATCTATCTTTTATTCACAGAAGATTTGGCACTGCCTAAGTTTGATTTAGATATATATTACTAGATGAGTTTTTTCTTCACATAGTTGTGATTTGTAATTCATTACATAGATATATAAAACAAAATATACTTAAACAAAGGAAACTAATCATATGAAAGCAAAGAAATCATTAATAACAACAAAAATGACAAATTACTCGTCTATAGTACGAAACTTTGCGGAGCCGCCACGTTCATCTTCAAATAGTTGCTATCCTTTACTTTGTTATGTAGGTACTTTTTAATAACCAAAGATCTAAGTGTATTTAGATCTATGCAATAACTAATAAGTTTATAATCAGTATGGTGGGTTTCTGACACTTCTGTTGTTATGGGTATATCAGGTATTATGTCATAAAGGTTGTTTTATGTTTCCATCATTAATGCCGATGAATTGTCGATTACCAATATAACCAAATTTGTGTTAAGTATTCACCTACCTACCCATCACTCGTATCGGTACTTGTACTGTGTGCAGGATAAATTTAATTTAGACACTCTACACTAATTCATTGTGATCACATCAGTCTGGATCTTCGCCCAGGTATAGGTACCTATCTAAAGATCCTAGAAGAAACATTTCATTTGATCTTACTTATGAAATTGTGTAACGATTGACGAATTTGTTCACATATTGATGCATCTCGTGCAAGTCAAGATTAAAATATATATTATATAATATGGGCTAGAACCAGTCGTAGAAAAACATGATTCAACTTTTGATATTGGAATATGAAAATGGATACCCACAGACGCAGCACAAAATATTCATTCTAGGTAGGAATCATCAGAAAACCGTCAATAATTGAAGATGATGATAATATACATGTATGCGTCAATAATAGTTTATACCATCAGGAATATAAAATAATGTGCCTATATTAATTGACCCTCGACTGAACCATGCAATCATTGCAATACAACTAGCATAAATGATATCAATATTTGAAAAAGTCAGTTTATGATAAATGTGCCTATACATTGTAAGAGTAAATAGGTAGTTATCCAATTTAACTATCTGTAATGCAAGGTGATGAAATAATTAATAAATTTTATCGAGAAATTGTAAACGGTTTGAAAGCATGTTATTACCCATTTAACTGTTATTGAGTACAAAAAAGTATATCGAAAGCTGGAGAACATTAAAATATTAATTAGTGAATTCACGGTTATTTTATGCAAACGATCAAAACAAGGTAAAAGAAAAATCTAGGGTGACGGACACTGAGCTAATTTTTTACCGTCGGCAAGACTAGAACCACATGGACTTCTCTCCATTCTCTGAGATGCGTTTTATTAAAAAAGCAGAGTAGGTATATATAGGTAGGTATGTATTCTTAATTATGGCGCCTGATAAATAAGAATAAATCTACATTTCTGACCATACATGCCTCACAGCCTTATTATGAGTACACATCGCAGGTAATCCTATGATATGGAGGCATCGAACATTCGTCTGGATATTGGGATACTTGATGTAATAGTACCTAAAGAAAATGAACATTTGTTTTGTCGTACCTATCACAATCGTGTGCGAATAATTTTTAATTGATGGAATTGAATAACCGCAGGTTTATATATATGTAGGTACCCGAGTAGCAGGACCTATAGGTCATGTATTTATTCCTTGATAAGAAAGAACGTACAACAGAAGAGTATATTGGTTAGGTAGTCAGTTTCCAATCTTACTAATGGTGTCGTTCATTTATTCACATTGATGTGTGTTGTTTCCTTCATCAAAAATCGTTCCCTCCCAATAGTTTGTTCTTTCCTCGGTTCTTTTCTGTTTTATTGATGATCCAACAGCCTTCTTCTCAATTCGTTATGGTTATTCGTCTATTTGTATATACCTTGATGTATATTGTTTCTTCAGTACAACTATATTGGTGGTTGTGCATTTATTTGTCCGCATATTGGGTTCTGGCTTCTCTCACACAAGGATCCACCAAAGATATCTGGACTGTGAAAACAACTTGTAGTATGGAGAGGCAGCGATATGTCATTATATTTTTACAATGAAGAAAATCTGATAATATACTCTTTTGAATCTCAAATCTCAAATTTACAGTCTATCTTTTTCTCTCTCCTTTTCCTTTTTCCTTTCATCTGTAATTTTTGTAATTTTTGTTATATTTGAATTTTGTTATACATTCTGTTAGACTTTACTTTACTGTAGCGAATTGTCAGCATTAAAAAAATAAATAAAATAAAATAAAAGATACAATACTTTGTACAAATGTCTTACTAAGTCTGACACCACAAAACAGGCCACATGGCCTAGTGAGTCTACTTCAGTAAGACATTTAAAGATATCCATTCATTTGAATCAAACATCTGAATGATTATAATATAATATAATATAATATGGTATGTTATGTTAATATATTGTTATTGTTATTATTATTTATTGTTTAATAAACCAGCGATATATGTATGTGGAAAAAAAAATACAATTATTCATCCACGAGAACGACTGCTGTTAGAATTCATGAATCTCAAAAATGAAATGGAACATATATATAGTGGAGAATTGATAACTGAAAATTATGAAGCTATAAAAAATAGTAAAAGTAAAAATGAAGTCCTATAATTTTCATGAATTTTGTAATGACTCGGGCGTTACTTTTATTTGAAATTCAGGAAATTTATAGAAAATGTGGAGAACTTCACAAACGCTATGATTTCCACACGAGTACGACTATTTTAGAATTTTGTGTGAAGATTTTATATCGTTTGTGAAGTTTTTTTTACAATTCCTATGAATATTGATGGTATATATAATAAACTCTCTAGACTTCTTTACTTCTTGCAAGACAGAGAATTCTTCCTCGGGGATATACGAGGGGATCTTCTGGGCATGTCTGACATAACCTAAAAATCGAATTTGGACACATGTAAGGCCTGTTGCTAAAGATGATTTTTTTCCATAGTTGTCTCTATTCATGGTATGAAGTAAACAGAGAAAGTCATAAAAAAAAATCAAGTTCAGCAGGTAGAAGTACAAACGAACAGGTCTCTAAGTTGATCACTGCTAAGTATGGCGTTGAATTGAAAAAATGACGAAGAGGCAGTGGTGACGTTAGATATCAAAGAATTTATTTGAAAAAGTTGGTTAGAATTCAATTTTATACTTGCATGCAGAATTTCGAGCAATAATTGTTCGAGAACATTGAAAATATACATTTTTTCGAATATTATTCGATCTTGTCACAATTATCAAATTTTTTTCCGGAGTAGGTTGAGAGTAATGAAACACTTGTATTCTGATGATGAATAGAAGAACAAACTCATTTTCTTCACATCAGGTAGCATGAGATTGAAAAAATAGTAATAAATATTTTCCCCATGTGATACGGACTTTGTGGGATGATACCTCGGATGATACTGTATATACCTACATATCCATTCCGAGTTATTTCCACAGTTGCTGAATATATATAGGTAGATAAAATATCAGCATGGAACATGTTGATATTTACGAAGTTTAAATGTGAAAATGAGTGATGTGACTTGTGATTCAGATTATTTGAGTCGAGATTTGAGTCATATACTGTCGTCAACAAGTAGCTTTCAGTGTCAATTTATTTATAATATTCGCCGGATATTGGTACTCATTATTGTTCAAGAATTATTGATAATCCAATCATTTGAAATCAGCAACAGTATACATCGGGTACCTTGATAAGTACTGATATAGGTACGATATTATATACTTATTCAATTATTTTATTGGAATGATTCATTATCAATGAGTTAAAATGATATTGTAGATCATTTTCAGGAATTTTTTTCAACATCTCGGTAAACATGAACATAAATTAATAGACATTCGTGCGCATATATATAGAACAGGTCTCAAGTGTGGTGGGTAATGTCTTAGATAAATTCTCCTTTATTCAATCAATCAATCAACAAAACAAGTGTTAAATCCTCGGTTAAATCACTTAAGTG